ATTTAGAATGGGCTCCCAAAGTCCATTTGTATGCCAGGGATAAATATTGATTTACTACCCAAGGTCCCATAGATTGCTGAGGCTTCCTCACTGACACCCAAATTTAGGGAGTCTGTATCAGATTGATTCTGGCCTCTCAGCCATCAGTCTGGGGTCCATGAGCTCCCCCCTTGTTCAGGTCAGCAGTTTCTGTGGGTTTCACCAGCTGGGTCTTGATCTCTTTGCTCATCACTCCTCCTTGTCTGCAACTGGGTTCCAGGAGTTCAGTTCAGTGTGGGGTCACACTCTTAAAGAAGGCAATCTCTCTCTCTTTCTCTTTCTCTCAGCTATCAACTGCCAATTCTTCCTTAGCTAGGGGTGGAACTTCATGTCCACTTCTCTTCTCCATGCTAGAATTTTATCTAGCCTGAGTCTGCATCAGTCTTGTTCATGATGTTTAAAAATGCTCTTAGTTGATGTATACAACTTCCCTGCTGTGTACAGAAAACACTGTTTCCTTAAAGTCAGCCATCAATATGACTTTTAAAATCTTCCTTCCCCCTCTTCCACCACGGTCCCTCAGCCTTGGGAGGAGGGAATGTGATACAGATGTCCCACTTAGGACTGAGCATTCTATGGTCTCTTATTCACTGCTCCTTGATCAGCTGTGGGTCTCTGTGTTAACCACCACCTATTTCAAAGACAAACTGCTCCCAGGAGAGCCCCGATACACTACTCTATGGGTATAGCAATAAGTCCCTAGGAGTCAGTTTAATATTATGTACTTTTGGCAGAGTGATAGTAGCAAGTTCTCCCCTAAAGATCCATGGCCTATCTAGTCACAGGTTCTTGGCCCAGTAATGGTGCTAGGTGTGAGATTCATCTTGTGGAATTGGTCTGAAATCCAATGAAAGAGTGGTTGGTTACTCCCATACATTTGTGCTACTGTTTAGCTTAGAGGGTTCACAGTTGGGCAAGAGTGACGATTCCTTTTCTCCCCTGTTAGTGTTTGTAGCACCTTCTAACACTGAAAGCTGGCCAGTAGGGATGAAGCTTCCAGGTTAATGTCAGCTTGTCTTCTCCGTGTTCTCCTATGAGGCGAATGTATGGTGCCTGCATGGTATGGCATTGTTGTAAAAAACGGATTAGACTTCTGAAGAGTTTCCTTTTTAAGATATATGTTTATTTTCTTTTTTCCTTCTTGTTTTTCTTCAAGACAGGGCTTCTCTGTGAAACAATCCTGGCTGTCCTGGCACTCACTCTGTAAACCAGGCAGGATAGAACTCACAGAGATCAACTTGCTTCTGCCTCCCAAGTGCTGGGATTAAAAGCATGCATGTTTCTAAGTTGTATTTTTATTTATTAGAATGTGCATGTCTACCGTGTGTGCTCATACTCACAATGACTGGAAGAAGGTATAAAATCTCGTGGAACTCCAGTTATAGGTGGATGTAGGCTCTCTGATGTGCGTGCTGGGAACTTGGGTCTTCGGCAAGACAATCCATGCTCTTAACCACTGTGCCACATCTCCACTCTGAAAGTGGTACCATTTGTGATACCCAAAAAGGAAAATAGCTCAAACACCTATTTCCATGGCTCTGGGAGAATAGTTTGGAACCTCACACAAGGACTGTACCACCAAATTACATTCTTAGCTTTAGATCTTTTGATTTTTAAGTAAAAAAGTAGGTAAACAGGGTCTACACTGAGTCAGTTTTGGCAAACCCATGGAAATCATTGTTTGCTTGTTTTGAGATAGGGTCTCAAGCTATGTAGCCCAGGTTGGGTTTTAAATCACTGAGATGTGCCTGCCTCGGATGTTTGGGATCACAGGCATGGATCCTCATACCTCGGTGCTTGAATTGATCACACATCATCCTTGGATGCTTCCAGGTCCTGGGCTGGCTTATCTAGAAACCTGGAGGCTTCCTGTTAATTTCCAGACATGGGGCTCCCATATTACAGGATTCTCAGAGGTCATCACCAGTTACATAGAGATCTTGCCCGTAAACTTTGTAGAGTAACTCTTGTGTACCCAGTGGGAGCTCAGAGGACCCAAGGGAGAAACAGCCAGTAGGAGAGGGTGGCACCAGAAAAGGACATACAATGGATGCTATTGGGGAGCAGGAAGGCCACAGAGCAGAGGAGGGAGCGCTGCCTGTGTTTGCAATGGGTGGAATAGCATGAGGCAGCCACTGTGGCTAGAATGGAGTGTGTCAGTGTGTCCTGCCCCTTCTCCAGCATGACAAGGTGGCCTTTAAATGCCACCGCCCACAGTTAGACTTGCCCACAGGCTACATTTCTTGGTGAATGGTGGTGGTTCTCAACAGACCTGCTTTTTCAGTATGGGGGTGGGGCAGGGGGGGATAGTGGAAAAGACTGACTGTAATTTTTAAAAAATAGAGTAAAATGTGCATAACAAAAGTGGCTACTTCAAGCTGGGCGGTGGTGGCGCACGCCTTTAATCCCAGCACTGGGGGGGGGGGCAGAGGCAGGTGGATCTCTGTGAGTTCGAGGCTGGGCTGGACCAACAGCCTCCAAAACAATACAGGGAAACCTTGTCTCGTAAAACCAAAAAAAAAAAAAAGTAACTACTTCAAGCTGGTATAGTTGCACACAACTACAAACCAGCTCTTAGGAAGTTCAGAGTGAATTTCAGGCTGGTCTGAGCTACAGAGTGGAGCCCTGCTGCATGCCAGCATGCATGTGCACATACACACACACACTCACACACACACACACACACACACACACACACACACACACACACACAGGAGTACGCACAGAAAGTGAGGAATGGACCCCTGGATGGTTGAGTGAGCACCGCTCTTATCAGAGGACCCAAGCTTGGTTTCCGGCACCCACATCAGGTAGTTCACAACCTCCTGTAACTCGATCCCAGGGTGATCTGCTTCTGTGAACGCCTGCACTCATGGGCACATACCCACACACATATTCACATGCATGCACATAATTAGAAATAAAGCAAAGGCAATAAAACGACCGTTTTAACCTTTCAAGTGAACTCAGCTCAGGGGCATTAAGCATGTACGCAGTGTTGCACCACTAACTTGACCCTTTCCTTATCCCAGACTGGACCTTTACCCGTTAAACCATCCCTCCAACCCCAGAAAACATCCTTCAACCTTGTCTCTGTGAGTTTGGCTGCTGTCCTTTTGTGACTGACTCATTGTCTTATCGTGGCATCCCTGAGGGACACCTATGTGGCAGCAGGCATCAAAGTTCTCTTCCTTTTATTGCTGAAGAATATTCCATTCTGGAACTATTCTATCCGGCATAATATGGGTGAGCCCATTGTGCTTACCAACCTATCTGTCCCTGGACTCTTGGGTGGTTCCCAGTTCTTGGGTATAGAGAACTCATTGATTCATTCTTTTGTTGTTGTTTTGTTTTTTGAGACAGGGTTTCTCTGTGTAGCCCTGCCTGTCTTGGAACTCACTCTGTAGACCAGGCTAGTCTCAGACTCACCTGTCTCTGCCTCCCAAGTGCTGGGATTAAAGATGTGTACCCCTCATCCCTCGAGCTGATTCATTCTTATTTCTGTGTATGTGGTGCTGGGGAGTGGAACCCGGGGCATCCTGCCTAATGAAAAACAAGTGAGCTTCATCCCAAGCCTCTTATTTGTTCTTTTTTTTCTTTTCTCTTTTTTGAGATGTGTGTGTGTGGGGGGGGTCTCTCTTCATAGGCGTGGCTGTCCTAGAAATCACTATTTAGAATAAGCTGGCCTAGAGCTCACAGAGATCTGTCTGCCTTTCTCTCCAGAGCGCTGTCACTTCTTATTTGTTCTTTAAAGCAAGTTCTTCAGACCTGAGCAACAAGAGGTTTCTGGGAAGGTCTGGAGAGAAGGCTCAGAGGTTAAGAGCACTGGCTGCTCTTCCAGAGGTCCTGAGTTCAGTTCCCAGTAACCACATGGTGGCTCAAAACCATCTCAATGTGATCTGATGCCCTCTTCTGGTGTGTAGGCGTACAGGCGGATGGAGCACTTGTATAGTGGGAAGTAGGAAGTAGCAGGAAGTATAAGGAGGACTCTCTGGGAAGGGAGTCAAGAAGCCCTTGGAAAGTCCTGTGAGGCCATATGCTCTGGGAGGAGTCACAGAGCAGGTACCTGAAGATGGCTGTCTCAAGGAGAAGGGGTCAAGGTAGACTTCTCACCCCATGAAGCTGGTCTTATTTACAGACAGGGATCCATGACTAGAGTGACAGCCAGGAGAGGGGCAGCCACCCAGCTGTGACTACTCAGGCCTGGAGATAAGTGACCTGGAAGTAGAAGCATGGAGCCTGAGGCGAGACTGCACCCACTTCACAGCCACAACTGGGGCATAAAGCAGCTTCAAAGACAGAAGACAAGCAGGAGGGGCTGGAGAGAAGGCTCAGTGGTTAAGAGTACCGTCAGCTCTTCCAGAGGACCTGGGTTCAGTTCCCAGCACCCACATGGCAATTCACAACTGTCTGTAACTACAGTTCCAGAGGATCTGGGACCCTCGCATGCAGGTGAAACACCATTGTACATAAATAAGAATAAATAAATTATTAAAAAAAAAAAGAAGACGAGCAGGAGGGAGGTTTGCCAGGAATGGGTGTGGCAGAGACATCAGGCCTGTGGCTGTTTTGTTTGTTGGGTTTCAGAGCATGCCCCACTACATGCCCAGAGTCCAACATTTGGCGGTGTTGGGTCTGTGTTGGTTGACTGAAAATGAAGGAGACGAAGGAGATAAAATAAATGAAAATCAACATGTTGAATGAGATCCATTTTGAGAGTGCAAAGCACAAAGTCAAACTTTTTGTTCAAAGAGAGGTCTCGTCTGATGAGGTGGCCTTGTGGGGGGCTCCCTCCTGATGAGGTTGCCTAGAGGGGTCACCTGTGGTGAAGTGGCCTGAAGAGCCTTACCAAAGCAGGAGGCAATTAAGTAACTTTTCAGTGGATAAAGCCAGAAGAGTTACACATCTGGGAAACGAACATGTATCATTTTGTCCTGACCTTACCTCCTTTGACTGTGCAGGTATGATGCAGGAAGAGATGGCTTTATTGACCTGATGGAGCTGAAACTCATGATGGAGAAGCTGGGGGCCCCCCAGACCCACCTGGGCCTGAAGACTATGATCAAAGAGGTGGATGAAGACTTCGACGGCAAGCTCAGCTTCCGGGAGGTACCTTCGGCCTGCTGAGCCTGAGAAGCCCCAGTCCGCAGCCCCTGAGCACAAATGACTTTGCCTGTTAAGCATGCGCTTTGGATGCATGTTTAATCTTCAGCTAAGCTTTTAAACGCATCTCCTGTAAACTGTGTGGGTGAAATGTTCCTATAATCCCAGCACTCCTGGACACAGAGGAGAACCATGAGTTGAAGGCCAGCCTCAGTTACATAGTGAATTGCATGAGAACCTGTCTCAAAAAAAAATCTTTCATGGTAGCTTATATTTGTAATTCAAGTACATGAAGGCTGAGGCAGGAGGATTGTTCTGAGTTTCTGCCTGTGAGCCACTATGCCTAACTTCTTATATAATTTTTTTTTGGTGTGTTTAGGTTTTATTGGAAGACTTTGAGATGTTTCAGTTGAATGTGATGTCATATAACTTGTGACAGCATCCTAATGACAGGATGATAGAATTACACCATTTTCTATTTTTCTGAATCAGCCAGGCCATTGGGATTAAGAGCAATACTCTTAACCACTGAGCAATCTCTCCAACATCCTCTCTCCTGTTTTATTCTGAGGCCACCCATAGATGATCCAACTTAATCTAAGCTACTAGATTGGCCATCTTTTGGTTAGCTTCTAGTGTGGCCATTTCTCACAGAAGTGGACATCCAATGCTTGGAGACCTCTAAAGCAGTTTTGCCAGCTGTAAACAAGCTCCAGTGACATTCCCCTCAATCCTTTGTGAGCTCCAAGTCCTGTCTTGGTCGCATTTCTAGGTCTTACTAGGCATGTAGGCTTGGAAGTGTAAGAAGATGCAACCATCTAGACCCCACAAGCATCACCCTGCTCTGTGATTTGCTTTGTTGTGTCTACGCATGGCAGAAGCCACCTGGGCTTGTAGGCAAACCTCAAGCTGTCAGAGCAGTGCGTGTCTCTTGAGAACGTTCTGCTTTCCTGGAAGCAGAATTTATCCTAGGCTGGCCTCAGACATGGGACCCTTCTGCTTTAGCTCCCCAAGTGCTAAACCTGTAGCCTTGTACCACATGCCTGGTCACCTTGGAGTGACATAGCCTAGAATTTGCTATGTAGCATAGGCTAGCTTTGAACAAGTAGCAATCTTTCTATCTTAGCTTCCTCAGTGCTGGAGATTACAGGCATGTATCACCATAGTCCACTGGGTCTGTCTGTGTGTGTGTGTGTGTGTGTGTGTGTGTGTGTGTGTGTGTGTGTGTAGTGTGTGTGGTGTGTGTGGTGTGTGTGTGTGTGTGTGTGTGTGTGATATTAGGGGTGAGGAGAGGGCCTTAAAAACATTGTTTTACAAATTACTATTTTATGTGTGTGAATGTTTTGTCTATATGTACACCTGTTTATTATCACATGTGTGCCTGGTGCCTTTGAGGCCAGAAGAAAGCATCAGATCCCCTGGAACTGGAGGTACAAATGGTAGTAAGACTCCATGTGGAAACGGAGAACCAAACCTGGGTCCTCAACAAGAACAGCAACTGCTGTTAACTGCTGAAGCCGTCTTTCCATCCCTGAAGGCAGGGTCTTACACAGTATAGTGACGGCTGGCCTCAAACTCACCATGTAGCTGAGGATGACCTTGAACTCCTGATCTTCTTGCCTTTACCTCCTAAGTGCTGGGATTACAGGCGAGCACCATCACATCTTGATTTACCCTTGGGGGTTCTTTTTTTTTTTTTTTTTTTTTTTTTTGGTTTTTTCGAGACAGGGTTTCTCTGTATTGTTTTGGAGCCTGTCCTGGAACTCGCTAAGTAGACCAGGCTTGGTCTCAAACTCACAGAGATCTGCCTGCCTCTGCCTCCCGAGTGCTGGGATTAAAGGCGTGCACCACCACCGCCCGGCTTGGGGGTTCTTTTTAATTTCTTTTTACTTTATTTATTGTATGGGATATATGTGTCTCCATGCATGTGTAAAGGTCAGAGGACAACTTGGAGGAGTCAGTCCAGGGCTTGAACTCAGGTCATCAGTCTTGGCAGCACACACCTTTACCCTTTGAGCTCTTGGGTTCTTGACAAATCCTTTTTCTATAGCAAGTTACCTCCTTGGTCCTAAAGTAAGACATGTATGTCTGTCACAAACGAAGAGCTCTAACACTTGTACACCAGGAGCCATTGTCATGAGTTAAAAATCCCCTCATCTCAGGACAGTGTCCTCCTTGGGCTTGTGACCGAAAGAGCTTCCGCACTGCGCTAGCTCCCTCTGCCCTCAGCCTTTGTTCTCTACCCCCCCCCCTGCTTTTCTCAGAGTCACAGCTCGGACCTTTTCCAACTGGACACCATGCCAGTCTTTGTGGACTATAAATAGGAAAACAAACAAGGTTGGGCAGTGAAGGAGACTGCAGTGACTATAGTGGGTGAAATGGGAGTGCCTGGTATGCTGGATGCCTTCGGGTTAAACTGGATTTTCTTTTTCTCTTTTCTGTTTTGACTGGCTGGAGTTAGGAGACCCCTGAATTATGATGGGGGAAGCTGTTGATGGTCAAGCAGAGTGAGCTTCTGCTACCTGAAATGTCCTGGGCCTCAGGGCTCAGAGCAAGCAGTGCTGGGAGAAGCCCAAGGGATTCGTTAATGTTTCTGGTTCACAATGAATTATGATGGGGGAAGCTGTTGATGGTCAAGCAGAGTGAGCTTCTGCTACCTGAAATGTCCTGGGCCTCAGGGCTCAGAGCAAGCAGTGCTGGGAGAAGCCCAAGGGATTCGTTAATGTTTCTGGTTCACAATGTCCTTCTGTGGATGTGAACACTCACGATTTTAAAAATTCGTTTTGTTTATTTTGTGTTGAGGGAAGGGGTACATGGGTGCCACGGCACACCTGTGGAGGTCAGAGGACAACTTCCATCATGTGGGTCTGGGGACCAGACGTAGGTTGTCAGTCTTGATGACAAATAGTTGGAGCCATCTCACTAGCCCTGCCTGTTGAAAAAACAGAGTCCTGGGGAATGGAGAGCCCCCGGATGCTGAGCTGGGACAATGCCCCCGCTTTCCTGAGTGGTCCCCCTGAGACTCTGAGAAGCATTGCTGTAGAAGGTAGCTCTCCTTGTGGGAACCTCCAGTCCGTGGAGTACTTTAAGGACAGTAGGTGTCTGGACTGGTTTCTTTTGTAATAACAGACCATCCCAGCCTGGATTGTCTTGGCCTGCAGTTCTGGGAGCCCAGGGCATGGCACCGGCTTCTGCAGAGCTCCTTGTAGAGGCTTGAACTCGGGGTGGAAAGCCCAGGGTAAGTGTGGATGACAGATCATCACGGAGAGAGAACAGGAATACAGAGCATCCCCCTCTCAGTGGCCTATTTGCCTCCTTAAGGCCACCACCTCTTAACGTTTTTGGGACCAAAGCATCATAGGCACCAGGTGCTGAGGGGCAGGCATTTACTCCATCCACAGCTCACACTTGCAATGCTGAAGTCTTTACTTGATCTCTCTCTTAATGAGAGAAGAGAAAACCAAGAGAAACTCAGCAGTCACCGCCATCCCCACCCTCCAGGCTGCCATCGCATTGCTGGGGGCCTGGCCTCCATCACCAGGCTTGGTTTCTCTCCAGTGTGCTGGCTCTAAGAACCTGCTGCAAACAGAGTCTTTGGTGGCCTCTAGTGAGAGAGTTGGAAGCTGCATGTGGGTGAACGTGGCTTTTCTGTTAATTGAGACAGCCCCGGGGACCTCAGAGGAGCTACAAATTCCCGCACATCTCTCCTCATCTCGTGGGTTGGTATTCACCAGTGTCCAGGGCAGAGGGAGGATTGAGTGACACGGGCAAGCACAGAGCAGGCTTCCTAGCACAGAGGAAGTTGTAGCCTTGAAAGCTAAGACACCGGGGTTGGGATTTGGAAAGTCTGTTGAAGTGGTTGACTGTCTTTCAGAAAAGGCGTTTTTGTTTCGAGACAGGGTTTCTCTGTGAAACAGTCCTGGCCTGGCCCGGAACTCACTCTGCAGACCAGGCTGACCTCGAACTCACAGAGATCCACCTGCCTCTGCCTCCCAAGTGCTGAGAGTAAAAGGGTGCGCCATCACCACCCAGCAGAAAAGGCATCCTTTAGGGAAGATGACTGTATTTTCCCTCTATACATGCTTTCAATCGCACCTGAAAACCTGGAGAAACCTCTTGCAGTGGTGTATAAAACGTTTTGCCTGCATGGATGTATATGTATACCATGTTCATGCCTAGTGTGCACAGAGGCCAGGAGAGGGTCTCCCATCCCCTAGAACTGGAGTTGTGAGCCACAGAGGCCAGGAGAGGGCCTCCCAATCCCCTAGAACTGGAGTTGTGAGCCACAGAGGCCAGGAGAGGGTCTCCAATCCCCTAGAACTGGAGTTGTGAGCCACAGAGGCCAGGAGAGGGTCTCCCAATCCCCTAGAACTGGAGTTGTGAGCCACTGTGTGGTTGTTGGGAAAGAGCCTGAGTCCCTTACAAGTACAACACATGCTCTTAGCCATGAATCCATGTCTCCATTGCCACCCTCTTCAAATTGTAGGTTTTGGGGAGGGTGAAACCTGACAACCTGAATCCAGTCCTGGGGACACACATGGTAGAAGAGAAACAACCAAGTTGTCCTCTGACCTCCACATGCATACACCATGGCATGCACGTACACAAAACAAATAAGATGTGACAAGGTGATTTTTTAATTCACAGGTGTTTGCTGTTTGTTTTTGTTTTGTTTTGGGCTAGAGTTTGATGCCATAGCCCATGTTGTCCTAAAAATCCTCCTACCTCGGCCTCCTGCTGCTGATGTTACATGTGCAAGCCACCGTGCTAGCTTTATAAAAAATGCTTAAATAATTAGAAAGTAACACAGGGAGAGAGGGCCAGGTAGAGGAGAGACTGATATTTAAAATTTTATTCAGTAGAGGCCCTAATACAATTGCCCTCCAAGATTACTTTGTTCAGATTGTACATTTTGAATGTGGAGGAAGACAGTGGATTGCAAAATAAATGTGGGGCTTACTAAGTAACTATTTGGAAGAAAATAAGGTTAATGATTACCCTTGCAATAGAACAAAATACATTTCAGAGATTAAATATTTACATGTTTTAAGGAAAAGCCATAAAAGTACTAGACAGAAACATGCCTGACTGTTTATGTAACCTTAGTGTTGGGGAAGGTTTTCCTAAGTGCTGGGATTAAAGGCAACACTACACCCAGCTCTATGATTCTGAGACCAGCCTGGTCTACAGAGTGAGTTCCAGGACAGCCAGGATTATGTAGAGGAACCCTGTCTCAAGAAGCAAAATCAAAAATAACAGGGCTGGGGAGGTGGCTCCGTGAGCAAAGATGCTTGATGTCAGTGATGTCAAGCCTACCGGCTTGGGCTTGATCTCAGGGACCCTCGTGGTGGAAGGACAAGAACTGACTCCCCTGACCCCCACACCTGAGTAAACAAATAAAATAACCATAGTCACAGCCTGCTTCAATGGCCAGTAGCAGAGCTAACGCATTTAAGACATACCAAGGCCTACAAAGTTCTCTTAGTAAACCACAAGAAAGGTAAGCCGTCTCATGGAAAACCAGAGCACGTGGAAAAAATAGAAGTGGCTAAGAGATGTTCAAAAGGTGGGGCGGGGAGGAGGGGCATCGAGGAGGCTCCAGTGGGTAAAGGCCAGGCCTGATGACCTCAGTTTGGTCTCAGGAACTCACATGGTGGGATAAGAGAACCCACATGTGTGCCATGGTACACGTACACACACACACACACACACACACACACACACACACACACACACGAACACACATGCATAACCATTAAATAAATATATACTTTTAAAAAATAAGATAATTACGTTGGGGCTGGTGTAATGATAAAGGTGTGTAATCCTAGCACTTGGGAGACAGGTGGATCTTTGTGAGTTCAAGACCATTTACACACCCCTAAAAAAAGCCAATTATTTAGTTAAAAAATAGGGTATAAGGAACAGGGAAATGGCTGGATGGATAGAGGCTCCAACTGTACTAACTGTGCAAGCCTAGCAACTGAAGTTTTTTTTGTTTTTGTTTTTGTTTTTCAAGACAGGGTTTCTCTGTGGCTTTGAAGGCTGTCCTAGAGCTAGCTCTTGTAGACCAGGCTGGCCTCGAACTCACAGAGATCCGCCTGCCTCTGCCTCCCAAGTGCTGGGATTAAAGGCGTGCGCCACCACCGCCCGGCTAACAACTGAAGTTTAATCCCTGGAACACATGTAAAAAACTGGGTGCCTTACCACATGTCTGTAATCCTAGCATTCCTATAGGAAGATGACAGGTGGGGACAGGAGCATTGGTAAGAAGCTGGAGGGCCAGCTAGTCTTGACTGGACAGTGCAGCAGCAGAGACATGATGACAGACCCTGCCTAAATAAGGTTGAAGGCAAGAACTAACTCTGGCCTCCTCACACACACACACCCTCACACACACACACACACACACTCTGAATGAATGAATGAGTGAATGAATGAATGAATGAATGAGAACTAGACATATGTTTTCAATCCCCACACTCAGGAGACAAACAGACAAATGGATTTCTATGACTTTGAGATCTTCCTAATTTATAGATAGCCAGTTCTAGGCCAGCCAAGGCTACGTAGTAAGACCTTGCCTCAAAGATATAAAGACCATCAAATAAATAAACACTAGGATTACAGGTTGAATCCAGGGCTTTCTATCAACTGAGCTACTCTGCAACCTTATTATGTGGATTTTTAAGGAATAGGTTCCCAACAGTGGCATTACTGGATGGGGAGAGAACAATAGTTAATTCAGTTAATCTATTTGGTACTGGGGATCGGACTCAGGGCCTTACACACTCCAAGCATTGCTTTACCATTGAGCTATGCCCTTAACCACCACCAACCCCTGCCCACCCCTTTTTTTGTTTTGATGATCTGGTAAGGGACAAAATAATTCTCCATGCATGCATAGACTTAATGTCCTTTCCAGGTAGAAGAGATGGCTAAGAGTATTTGCTGCTTTGGCAAAGGAGTCAAGTTTGGTTCCTAGTACTCTTATCAGGTAGCGCCCAGTTTCCAGTAGCACCAGCTCCAGGGGTTCCAAGGCCCTCTTCCAGTCTGTGGACACCTGCACCCACACATGTGCATCCTCTCCCTATATACATATAATTAAAAAATAAATGTTGGGGCTGGAGAGATGGCTCAGCAGTTAAGAGGACCCAGGTTCAATTCCCAGCACCCACATGGCAGCTCACAACTCTCCTTAACTCCAAGATCTGACAGCCTCACAGAGACATACATGCAGGAAAAACACCAATGCACATAGAATAAAAGTAAATAAATTATTATTTAAAACAAAACAAAATACCCTTTTCAAGTTCTTGGCAAGAATGTCAAGGCCAGAGGGATTCTTGTGGATGTGTTGGTGGGGCATCGTGGATAGCAGTAACCCTCCGGTTCCTCTTCCTCCCACAGTTCCTGCTCATTTTTCACAAGGCGGCTGCCGGTGAGCTGCAGGAAGACAGTGGGCTGTTGGCATTGGCCAAGCTTTCTGAGATCGACGTTGCACTGGAGGGCGTCAAAGGTGCCAAGAACTTCTTTGAAGCCAAGGTATGTGTCTGTTCCTTCCCTACCCAGCCACCATGCTTCCTTTACCCTGTCCCGGTGACAGGCACTCCCTGTCCAGTGACGCATTAGCTTACTCAGGACAAGGCTCTACTGGGAAGTGAGAGTGTGCCCTCACACAGCACAGAAGACTCCTGGCCCAGGAGGCCCCAGGCTCCAAGACAGACTCTCCCTCTAGACCTTGAGTTACTTCCACAGGCCCTGCCCCCCTTTTCGTTTCTCATCTTAAACATCTGGGTTGGAAGGCTGGAGAGAGGCTGCTCTTGCAGAGGACTGGAGTTTGGTTCCCAGCACCTGTATTGGGCAGCTCACAATTCATCTTACTCTAGTTCCAGGGAATCTGATGCCCTCTTCTGGCCGCTGTGAACACACACATACACACATACTCCACAGGCAGTGGTGGTGGCACATGCCTTTAGTGCCAGCACTTAGGAGTCAGAGGCAGGTGGATCTCTGTGAGTTCAAGATTAACTTGGTCTACAGAGCGAGTTTTAAGATAGCCAGGGCTATACAGAGAAATCCTGTCTCAAACAACAACAACAAATCAATAAAAATAAATATTTTAAAAAATAGCATATGGGTTGCAGACAAATAGGAAAGGGGTCATGGAAGGGTGTCAGGATGGTCTGTCCCAAATCAACGTTTGCATCACTGAAAATGATCAGGAGGGAGGGAAGCCTCATAGCCCTGCAAGTTCACAATCCCCGAACACTGAGGCACCTGTCCAGAGCTAGCTGCTGCCATCCTTGTCTCTGCAGAGCACACCTGCAGACACAGGCAGGACAGCCCCTTCACCCCGGCTGCCAAGCAGAGCAGAGTGCAGTGAGATGGGCACATCACCCCCGACCCCGAGCAGGCAGCGCAAGAGATCTGCCTCCCTCCCTCCCTCCCTCACATTGCTACACTGGCCGTTTCCACTTGTGCCACAGAGGCACTGGCGGGATTGGATGAGCTTGCACGTCCAGTATTAAGTAATTGCCTGGCTCTTGGGGAGCAGTCAGCACATAGTCCCAGCCATCAGGATTACATGCATCTGTCTTCAGTCAGTTGCTGGCCTCTGGAGGACTTTGAGTTTCTTCCATTAGCTTACCCCAGGACAGAGCAACCTTGGTGACATCCTGGTCTGTTTAGAGCTCGAAACAGGACACCATTCTCACTTGTCTATGAGGCTGCTTGCAGATAGACTCTGTTGGTGAACACCAGCCAGTGCATTGACTTCTGAAACCCAGGAAGAAGGGGATAGAACATTTGCCTTCCTGCGGGGGCACAGTGTGGGGAGGAAAGTCAATCACTTGTTGACACAGAGGGTGGGGGCAGTGATGAGGAAGGGTCCCTTCCACTGTGATGGAACCTGTCCATCCATTAGTGCCTTCACCTTTGCAGTCTCTTGAGACTTGGGAAAGATCCTAGGACTGAGGCCCAAGAGTACCAGGACAGTTCCCTGTCAAGGTAGACTGAGCTAAATGCTCTAGGTGAAGCACATGGGTCCCTGGGGCTATATCATCTGGGCATTCAGGACCTGTCACGACTTGCCTATGATCCCTGTTCCAGCCCCATCCAGTCCTTCAGATGTTGCTGGGAATTTTCACAACTGATCCTCAGAACCTGTATCTCTCCTTGCCCAGAACTTCACCCCAAGGCCACTGTTTGGAGAACTCTACTCCTTTGGGACCACCTTCTAGGGCAGCCTACTCCTGCCTATCCTTCTCCTGAATGCAAGTGGCACTGTTTTGTATCTGTTCGAGGTGCTCTTAGACACTTGAAGGGAGACTGCCAATCAATCTGTCTGCAGAGCAGTTGGTACTCTGCCTCTGGAACATCTCCCTTCCGAGGCGCTTGCACACTTGGTAAGGATTTACTGTAACACAACTTAAACTTCAGTTGTCAGAGATGAGTTCATCATGGCATGACCATATGCTCACTCATTCTGTAGCCGTCAAAGATTCGAGACAAGGCTGTGTCGTGTGTGTACGCAGGTGTCCAAAGTAAGTCAAGCAAAGTAATATGTGGACACCTGACTTTAAATGCTGAATACGGCCTAGATAATTACATATGAAAATAGTAATAGCTACGTGAAGGGACACATTTTATACTTCTGTAGTGTTGTAGAATTAGTGTGCATTATTTTTATAAGGAGAAAAGATGAAACGCACAAAACAATAAACTTTTTCCTACTTGCTGTGTAAATATGCCTGACTCCTCAGCCAGACTCAAAGGCAGAGTAGGCGTGTTATCTTTGTAATTACAGCGCCCGATGTGTAATGGCCCTCAATAAATGTTTGCATGAATGACGAATAGAGGGAAGCACCGCTTGGATTTGGGAGAGGCTGTAAGGGAGATGACACTGGTAGCAGATGCTCTAAGATAAATGGGGATTCACCTTGTAATCAAGGAAAGGAGGCGTTCTGATCATGGGAGCTGCAAGCGAAGGCTCCGTGGCGTGGAGGACTGGGCATCCTGGAGGCCAAGGAGAATGCATGGGGTTGTGGGAGGGCAAAGGGCTGGTGCCACAGCAGGGAAAGCAAGCCAAAAAGCAAGAATGGAGACCTAGGAACTGGGCCACCACTTCCCACCTTTGTTATGAGGTAGGTGACTCTGAGGTCAGATGGCCCCTGCTTGTAATTCCCAGGTTGAGAGACACCTGGAGACTGGCCTCCCAGGCCCAACCCGGGTCTCTTTAAAACTCTTTTGGGTGTGGGGGTGGGGGGTGTTGCCAGGAAACAAGGAGTTGATCCAGCCCTGCAGGTGGGTGGCATCAGGTGCACCCAGGCTGGGACAGCACAGCTGCAGGGGCTGGAGAGCCCTCAGAACTGGCTGGGAAGGTCTGACACTAGGAGCCGGATTCCTAGGAGAGGTTTCTATAGGCGCCTGGGGAGGAATATCAGTTTGCCAAGCTTTGTGACAGTGGGCCCAGGGGCAACATAAAGACACACAACTTTAGAACTTCTGTGTTTGTGACTACCTTATTAGGAGTTTGGGGAAGGCCAACAGAAGGTGTGCATTGAGGAGGGAAGCTGAGAATTTTTGTTATCAAGAAAGCCCCTCCCCCAAGTGGGAGTGGTTTGAGGAGGAAAAGCAATAAACTGGGCTCTGGTGTGAAGTCCAAGACAACTTCAGGCACAGTAAAGACATGGATGAGTTTGATGGGTGTGGTGATGGCTGCAAATGGTCCTCCAGTAACCACACAGAGGCTATAAAAATATCCGTCCGCCTTTCTTGGAGGTCTGTGTTTCTTGCTGTAAAGATGGATCGCCACCATTGACAATGGCTGGAATATGACTGTCCTCATAACCCCCTCCTGGGGTGTGGGGTCAGATTCCACGTGCCAGGTGAGCGTCCCATGGGAAGAAAGAAGGGAAAAAGTAAGCTCTATGGGCATCCAGTAACACAGGGGTAGGAGCCATCTTCACAAGTACACATTGAAACAGCAGGAGAGTGGCCGAGAGTGGATTTTCGTGGTGACTGGACTGCACGGGAAGCTTTGTATTTCTGTCTTCAGGAAAAAGATGGAGTCATCAGAAGCCCAAGGGAATACTGGAGAAAAAAAGCTACTTAGCTGGACGAGAGCGGTTTGGGCTTTTTAAATTTTATTTTTGTTAATTATGTGTATGTATGAGTCTGTGGCCATGACTACAGTTGCCCAAAGAGGCAAGAGGTGTCAAATGTCCGTAAGCTTACAGGTGGTTTTGAGCCTTCTGACGTGGGTGCTGGGAATGGAATTCAAGTCCACGTGGAAGAGAGCAGTGTACGCTCATCACCTCTGAGTCACTCTCCAGCCCTACCAGTTCTCGCCTTCCGCTACGTGGGTCCAACAGATTGAACTCAGGTTGTCAAATTTGGCAGCACGCCATCTGGCCAGCCCTCAGGAGAGATGTTCAGGGGTCAGATTCACCCTATTGAGCTGATTGCGTTGGGATGGACCTAGCAGGAGGAAGCCCGAGAGCCAAGACCCCATTGCTGATGTTGGAGCAGGTGAGACAGCAGCTTAGGGTTAGGTAAGAACGTCTTTGTTTACTCTGCAGCCTCTGAGAGAAGTCAGTATGTTTTCCTACCAGGGAGAAATTGCCTAGGAACCATGGACATAAAAAGCAAGATGACTGATCAGATAGGTTATGGGGTGGGGGTTTAGGGTCAGGGGTGGGCTATAGAACCCAGAGGCAAAACTTGTAATGGAGGAAATGAAAGATTCCTGAGTGAAGAGATGGCGGAATTCCCTCCCCTGCTGTCCTAACTAGGAATGGTGGAGAGGGAGGGGGAGTGTTGGTGCAGGGCCAGACCCCCTCCAAGGCTTCAGTTTAGTATGCTAACACCCCGGAAGTAGGTGTTTTTTGTTTGTGTGTTTGACTTGAGACAGTTTCCTGTAGTGTAGGCTGACCTTGAACTTTCCATCTTCCTGCTATAATCACCGTAGTGCTGGGAACACAAGCATTTGCCACTAAGACCCAACTGTTGTCTCTTCTTGAAGATAAGGAAGTTGAAGCTTAGACATTAGTAATTGCTTGGCAAACATTTAGCAACAAACTATAATATCTAGTAACTTTAGCATTCAGGAGGCAGAGGTAGGAACGCTAAAGAAGAGTTCAAGGCTCTAAAGTTGTTTTGCTGAAACTGCAGGCGATGAGGAAAACACGACAAACCCGGAGTTTACTGGGAGAAGGGAACAAAGGGAGGGGTAGGTGTTGGCCAACCGGGAAAGGGGAAGGGGGAACAGAGATGGAAGGGGGAAGGGAGAATGAGGATGATAAGGGAGGAAAGAAGGAATGAACAGGTGGAGGAGCTCGCTTAAAAGGGGAAGCTTGCACTCGCCTACAGAGTCCTTACGTAGACACATACCGCATGACATAGTCACGCAGCACAGGGCCCTTTGAGCTGTCTAAGTATCTGCCTGAATGCCTGTGTGCTTACCTTGCCAGTTGCCAGGGGGCGGGGTTAGCATAATACCTGAATCCTTACATCTAGTCAACTGTGTATGGAATTCAAGATCT